TTGCCTGGAGAATCCCCTGGACAGGGGAGCCTGGCAGGCTATGGTCCATAGGGTCGTAAAGAATCGGCCACAATGGAAGTGACTTAGCACAGCACAGCACTATAGGGTAATCCAGGGGCGTGCGCGCGTGTGTGTGTGTATGTGTGTGTGTTGTTGTTGCTCTTGTTGCTGAAGATAGGTGACAGCAAGCAGAGAATCTTGAATTCAGTAATAAGCAAACATAAAATGGGTTGAATGCTTAAATTGGCCCTGTATGAGTGAGAACTGCTGCTTCTATGGCACCAAATACTTGGGTGTTGTCCTTAGTGCATCATGCCCATTAACCCATTGAATCTTCACCAAACTCCTTTTAGCTAAGCTCCCACATCACAAGGAAGCTGGGTTCAGAAAGTTTTTATAACTGACTCAGAAGGACACAGATAGTAAGTGGTAGGCTAGCTACTCAGTCCTGTTTGTCACCACTATGCTAGAAGGTTAAGCATGTTCTATGTGTTTTCATATTTGCCAGTCCCCATGCTAAGAGCTTTACTTTCATTGCTTCATTTAATACCTGAAGTAACTCTAGTGAGACATACCATTGTTACAGATGAGGAAACTCAGATACTTTCCCAAGGCTCTATAATAAATGGTAAAGCAAGTGTTATTCGTGCAGTTTGGTTTCTTAATCCACGATTTTAACCATTCTCCATATTTAAAATATTTTAATTATATATAAATACATACCTATGTATTTACATATATTAAATATTTATTTTTATATATATGTAAAATATTTAAAACTGAAAAATTCAAATTACGTTTTAAGCAAAATTCTGTATAGAAGACAAAGTAGAACAACTCCGTTTGAGTGCGAGATGGTGGATGGAGCTCTCTGCTGATACACACCCCTTCTCCCACTCTGCTAATCTGTTTATCAGCCCCCAGATGCCTTTTTGGAACTCATGGTGGTCTAGGGAACAGAGTTCAAAGACCACAACTGTAGGTAATCAGGAGCCCCTTGAGATGATGGAACCAGACCAGTGATACTTTTGATGAAATATTGATGGTTTAGGCATATTTTCCTGGAAGTGGGGAGGCAAGTTGTAAGAATAAATCCCACGAGGCATCTTAGCTCACCCAGTTCAAAGTCACATCCAAAGATACAAAGTCAAAACAGCTGAAAAAAATCAAAAGGAAAGTCTAACCTTCAATCTGTGTCTTTGGAAAACATTGAAGCCCCAGGAATAACACCTAGCAACTTTTCCCCCTTCCTCTTTTCTCTACCTTCTCAGTCATCTTATTCTGCCCTTATAACAAAACAAAACCTCTGTGTACCCAGCCTCTAGGCTCATCACCTCTCTTTCCTCTCTCACTCATATCTCCTTTTTATCATATAGATTGTCATAGCCTGCCCTTCAAAGTACTGTACCTTTGCACACAGTTTTGCTGGTTCACTCTACTACTTATTTCCTAAAATCCAGGCATAGTTCTGGCTGAGAGAGAACTCTTGACGGTGAAGAAGCTGAACAGGCAAAGCCAAGTCCTTATTTAGGGTTGGGGTAGGAACAAAGGCTGGGAACACACGTGTGCACACACACACACTTATTTTCAATCTTGTCAGAAATGTGGGGTGGGGGAAGGGATACAAGCTGGAAGCATAAAAAGCAGTGATAGAAAAAGATAATGGTCTCAGGAAGTGTTTCCAAAATAGACTTGATGATGAAGAGAAAACAAAGGGGAAAGAGAGGGAAGACACAAATGTGGTTCTTAAACATGAGTCACTGAGAAAAGCTGAGGACACTGGACTAAAGTGTCACCAATGTGTTAGCGAATGGCAGGTACGGAGAGCTGGGGTAGGTGGTAGGGATTTGGTTTAGATAGGTGTGCATGGATCATCCTGAATTCAAAGTGATACTGTGACATCTAAATGGAAGTAATCATCAAGTGGTTCAGTGTATGTGAAAGATGTTAAGTGAATAAAAGGAGACAAAGTTTGGAAAAGTATCAGAATAGTGTTGAGAGCTATAGAGACAAACCTCAGTCCTTCTCTGAGAAGCCACTTTGATGAGGAAAATGTCTCTGGGACAGAGTCATGAAGGGAAAGGTCCAGTTATGGATGCAGGAGGGTGAAGAGTTTGCAAGAGAAACAGGGGAAGTAAGTTCTCAATCTAAGGCGAGCTTCTGAGAACTCAAGGGAAAGGTTGGCTTATAGGTGAATGGGGAATGGATACAGTCCCGCTCACCCATTACACTGTGTTTCAGAGAGGCTATCTAATAAGAAGGGGGGCTTTCTAATGATATATATATATTTTTAAAACAGTTTACAAAATTATACATAGCATCTCAATTATATGTAATATGTAAAAGAGTAAGAGAGAGATGGAGAAATTAAAACAAAGTGTTCAGAGTGTTTATCTCCATGTGGTGGTATTTTGGGTAATCTTAGCTAAAAAGAATGTCATTTTTCTTATATTAAAAAAAATTTAAATTTTTTCTGTCTTTTAGATTCCATATGAGTATACCTTATTTTAAGAGAAAGTGTTATTTTACTGATATTAACTAGAAGAATAATAAATGATATAGAGGCTATGTCATCTCATGTAATACCCACAAACATCTAATAGGAATAAATAACATAATTTCCTGTTTCCAGGTAAAGAACCCAAAGCCGAAAGAGATAAAGAACCTTTTGTCAGTCATATAGTGAGTTATGGAGACATGATTCAAATCTGATCATTTTTAAGGCACAAGTTTCATAGACATAGACAGCTAAAATATTACTTCCAGTGAGGAGAAGAAGTTGGGGAACCGTTCAGCTGTGCAAACTACACATTAAGAAAAGACATATGGCAAGAAGGAGGGTATCGTTGGCCTGCAAGTGTTGGGAGAGCAGGAATAAAAAGTACATCCTCTTAATGAGAGGGACCTGGTGGTAGGGAGGTGGAGGCAGGCGTTATAGACACTTGATAAGGAGTGTGACAGTTCATCAGTCAAGGCCGACAAGTCACACTGGAGGTAACAGCCTCTCATCTCGAGTTGTAACCCAGCAAAGGCTCTACCTTGTTTACGTGGTGTGGTTTGGCGGCTCAGGCTGAAGGAGACACTGAAACATGCTTCTGAAGTCGGTATGCCCGGGAAAAGCGACGGCTGTGGAAGATTGCTAGTTCTTAAATGCTTCTGCTTGGAAATGACAGTGATCTAAGGTGTAGCTGTTAAAGCTGGTTTAATATAAAACTAGTTAGTGTCTGCCATAAGCAGTCACGTGGCAGGTGAACTAAGAACTTGGAGACCCATAAAGTAGCATTCTGTGTCTGTGGATTGCAGGCAGGTCAGCTCAGTTAATAAGGGAGTCAGCAGGTGAGAATCCTGGACACCCTCCCTCTTCTCTGACATCGATAGTACATTTGAAATTTAAAAAAAGTTACAAAAGGAAAGGGAGTCATGAGGACACAGACCATCCCAAGTAGAGGATCAGGCAGACTGTATCTGAGTTGATGCTTGGAATGACCATAATATTGATCTTTTAAAAAGCAACACTGCTATTGAATGTATAAAAAATAGGGTAAAACAGACAAAAACACTTCTGCTTCAGATTCATCAAGTATTGTTTTGAAGAAGGGCTTCTAGTTGTATTTATGATATTCTATGAACTTATATGAGAAACTAAAAAGTTTGATTGCTTTTTAATATTTAAATTTTGCATGTTAAATGTTATGTGTTAAAGAGTAATGCTGTTTATCCCTGTGTAGTTCTGTGACTTTCATAGGTTATGCTCTATAGTCCTTGCTTTTAAAACTGTTTTTGGTTTTGGCTTTTATTTATATTACCTGGTCATTGAGTTTCCTCTTTTTATCAGGGCAGAATGGAGGGTTTTCTGAATTTTAAAAGCCTGTAATTTACCTTCGATGTGAACTATCATGCTTATTCTGAATAAATTCCATGTAAAACTGCAGAAATTGTGTAGAAAGTCTTTATGAATTGGAACTTAACATGTCATTGACACGTTTTGAAGGGCGTTCTGTTGACTTTAGTGATAGATGATCCCATTCTGCCAAGTTCAGCTGGAAGGGGTGACTTAGAAACCCAAACATCAACTCTGGAGTCTAAAAACTTCCTGAAACCATGGTTTTAAGTCCTCAGGGTGGATGCAGCCTGCATCTGTGCAAGGGATGGCATTTCACCAGCTTGCTCCACGGAAGGCTCTGGAAAAGAACCATTAAACACCAGGCTTCTTTGTTGTGTGTTGGCTTTTAAACATCTCCAATGGTTCAGGAAGGATAAGGCCTTGCCTTGGGGCTCCCTGGTCCAATTTTTTGGGACCTGGCTGAAAACCCTGGATATTTGATAGTCTGGCTTATTTCTATGGTGTATTAGCACCCTATAAAAGTTACATGTCATTTATTTCAAGTTTAGAACCCTCTCCAACTTCAGGGGCAAACCAAACTTGAACCTTTTGTGGCTGGGATTCTGTTTACCTTTGGCCAAACCTTGCTTCCTGAATGTGAAACAGGGAGGTGAGGTGAGAGGGGGGCCCCTGAGGCCCCTTGGCCATCAAATTGCTTTGGCCAAACAAGGCTTTGATAGGCTGAAACATGAATGAATTTGAAACACGTAGAGTAGCTTCCTGTCAGAATGCTCTGGGGCCTACACACAAAAGTATATTGTGCCGGGCAAAGTGCATTTGAATGTTGTCTTCAGCCAACTGTGAGGCAGTATGAGATTTTTGCCAAACACAGGTTGAAATTGGGTCAAGCCACTCACCTTCCAGTTCTAATAAATACATTAAGTAGTTTCTATAAAAGTTATTGGATAATCCAATTGAATGAGGACCTTGGAGAAATTTGGACATGTCTTGTGTTTGAAATGTTTATTTTTAAGTAGTGACAAAGAAAGAATGGACGCCGGGATACAATGCCCAGCTCAAGAATGGCTTTAATTCTCTTGTGTCTGTTGTCAGAACGCAAGGTACGCCTTGTGCTTGAATGGAGGAGAAATAATGCTGCGTCCCATGCACTTTTCAGATAGAAGAACTGATGAATGCGCTGGAGAAGACCAGACAGGAACTGGACGCCACCAAGGCTCGCCTTGCCGCCACGCAGCAGTCCTTGGCCGAAAAAGAGGCACACTTGGCCAACCTACGGATAGAGAGGAGGAAACAGCTGGAGGAGATCCTGGAGATGAAGTGAGTACCCATTTTTGCTTTCTCAGTCTTTCTTTTCTAACTCCTCTGTAGGGATGAGAAAGGGAATGCTAAAGAAGAGGAAGAAAGAGCTTAGAGAAAGAATCATTTAGCTAATGCTTGACCAGTTGTTTCTGTGACTATGCTTCTTATTTTCTCGAATTACAGCTTCCATGTCCCAATGTGCACATTTTTCACATCTGTTATTCAAAAAAGAAAAAAAATCCAACATAAGGTTTTGTGACTCTGTGTTTTGTGGACGGCACTAATATTCTTAGATCTATCAAAAAGGTTTGGGCTGGCCAAGAGACAGAGGCCTTGTTAAGCACAATGGTAATTGAAGTCCTGCTCAGGGTTAAATGGAAACTTTTCTGAGGAGGTATTTCCTAATTGTGACTATAACTTTGCTAATTATATTCTTTTCACTTGTGTACAATGCCTGGCTTGTGTTGGCTTTCATAGTCTCAAGGTTGGCACCTCTTTGTTTAGAAAGCAGGACTCTGATTTGCTGGGCTGATAAAAACAGGCTTGGAAATGCCCCTGCCCCCCTGTCTCGTTGCGTAGGTAAGCACTGGACAGGGGTGGGGGCTGGGTAGGGGAGGAGACTGGAACAAATGTCTTTCTTTGATTTAATCAATAAGGTGTGACTGCTTGTCGGGCAATGGTTGTTCCTGTGGGCCTGTGACACACCCACCTCCACCTAGCTTTTATATCATTCTCACAGTGAAATAATATCACCATGAAAGAACATAGTAAAGATAAGTATTCAAAGATTTTAGAGATAATCAATTGCTATGACTCTATTTCTGAAAAATTAGGCAAGAAGCAGCATCTCTCTGTAACTCTTAAAATGAAATAATCACTAAAGTATGATTTAAATCCGGCCTCCTTCCACAATAAGGGGAAATGTATAGAATTATAGCATCTTAAGCCTGTAACATAGACTTGGAAATTGGTGGCTAGGTATGGAAGAATAACCTTACCCTGACCCTGCAAGTCTTACACATGGTTAGTATTAAACCCAGAAAGCTTAGATCATGGAAAATATGGAATGAAATATTTTGAAGGATTTAATAATGAGGACAGAACTTTTATTCCTTGTCAACTACCTCAGTTTCTCCTAGACCAAAGAATAAGTAGTTTTTTTCCACATATAAACTCCCATTTTTCCTAATAAAAGATGATATAATAAAAGCAGATATTATTATCCTCAGTTTAGAGGTGAGGGAACTGAGACTCAGCGAGATTTCAAGTAATTTGCTTAAGGACATCTGGCCAGGATTAAAACCAAAATCTGTTCAGACTCCCTTTCTACTACCTCATTTTCTCATGCAGTTATGTCAACTCCACCAAGTCCAGAACTTTTGTCTGTTTGAATCACTGCAGAAATCATGCTGCCTAGAACAGTGCCTGCATATGGTTGGTGCTCAGTAATTGTTCATTGATGGAATGAATAGATTGAATGCTGGAGACTGGATATGTACTTAGGAAGAATCATATTTCAGGCATTTGTGACAGTATCGATGTGATCAGTAATTTATTAATAATACCAGTACATTGATTCCATCAGCCTTTATTCGTTCTCTTTCACTTACCCAGCTTCTGCCTCCTTGTGTGTTGCTATGTGTCAGAGTCAGGCTAATTTCTCTCATTGTTCTGCAGCTGTTCCCAAGTTAACTCTACACCTCCTGGAGTGATTTATTATGCCATTATAAGGAAACTTTCATTATTTCCTGTTTATAAAAAGAGCATATACTTCCAACGTTTTGAGAGAACAAGTAACGGTGAAGCATGCTGGTTTGGGAGTTGTCAGAGCTGGGTTGAAATCCTGTTGCGTCCACTTGGTGGTTGTGTGACTTGGGGGAAAATGACCTTAACATTGCTGACCCTATGGTTTCCTCCTGTAATGACTTTCGTGGGGTGGTTGTGAAGAGAAGCACTCAGAGGAGGACTTGGCACATGGAAAATGAAATATGTGTGTAAATGGCACTATCAGCCAATGAAAATATGTCATTTGTTTAGTATACTTTGTGAAGAGTATCATTTGTCTAAAATTTGGGTTTATTTTTCTAAAATATATAAACCTTTTCCATGTGTATGTTTTCCCACTTAATTTCATGATTTCAGATAGCACCTAACTAAGACCTCTTTTGGTGAATTGCCACATTATTGCCGAAGTGCTTAATCTGCTGCCACTGCAAAATAAATAGAAAATTCCTCTGTTAATTCCTTTGGTAAAAGTAACAAAGCTCTGCTTCATTAAGCCCAATATGAACCTCATTCACTCTTTAACTGGCCCAGAAGCCCCACTAACCAGGGTTCTTCCCAGGACTATGGGGACACAGGTGCAGGGCAGTTAAATTGACTGAGAACCCCAGTTAGATTTACCAGCCTCTTCAGATGTTCTAGTCAACCAAACGGTTTGGTGAATCTTGATTGAGTTGAGTTGATGTATTGGTTATTGGACATTAACTGAGTCAATGTTAGTTAGTGTGAGCAGTCAGCTGGATGTGTCATTGCATTTACTATCACTCTGTGCCAAGTGTTGTCTTTCATTCAACTGACAGGCAAGTGTGCAAGCAACTTTAGGCAAGTCTGCCCAGGATTGGGAAATCCTGGTACATGGGAAAAGCCAAATGGTGTTAGGAAGAGGGGTAGGGCCATGAATCAAGAGAAATAAGACGTGGTCTCATAACTCATCCATAACCTTAAAGGAGGTCACTCTCTGTTGCCTCGGTTTTTTTCTTTGGTGACATGGAGGTTGATATTACCTGCCCTATCTACTCCATAGAATTGTTACAGGAACAGGGTTTTTTAAAAATACTGAACTGAAATTAATATAAACTAGCATATGTAAAAGCACTTTGAAACATAAAAGGGGATTTTGAAATGAGAGATGGTGTCCGTTAAATTTGTTGCAAAATTAAATGACACAGAGTCATAGTATTGGAAAACAGCTGGGTGCAGCCTTCCAGCCTATATAAGCCAGACTGCTGTCCACATAATAAGAAATTCACCAGGCCTTGGTGAAGACCACTTGCCTTGGAAGCCATGAGCTCATAAGGTGGCGGTTCATGTTCCATGGCTCTTGAAGGTAGCTCCTTCATCCTTATATGGAACTGAAATAGCTTTCCATGTACTTAACATTACCACTTGTCTTGGTTTTTGTTTCAGAGCTACATAGATTTCAGCTGAGCCCTGTCCACATGACAGGCAGCCTTTTATTTTTCATAAATTTATTTTTATTTTATATCTGTTCAGGTAATAGTGTGCATTCTAAAAGGAGAAAAAAAGAGCAAAATTAAAAAGAAACAAAATTGCGTATGATCCTACCATGCAGAGATAGATACTAATAACATTTTGATGTCTACCTTTACAAATGCTCTTTATTTTTTTTAACAAAACTAGATTGCACTTTCATATTTTGTAAATCCTTCTTTTGTTTTCTGAATGGTAAACACCGCTCTGTGCAGCAAACATTGAATTGTATTATTTTTAATTATCCAACATACTATCATACAGAGTTCTTCCTTTATCGGAGGCTTATCTTGGTGCCAGTATTTTGCTAATATAAAGAATGTCTTGATAAGCATCCTGCTGTTTCAGTTGGTTAGCTTATTTTCAAATAATTGCAGATTAATATGTAGCTATAAGAAATAGTACAGAGAATTCTCTTGTATGCTTCACTTGTTCCCCTCAGTGGTAATATCTGGCATAATTACAGCACAGTATTATGCCAGAAAATTGATATTGATATAGCTTACCAACTTTATTCAGATTTCTCCAGTTTTACATGTACTCGTGTGTGTATGTATTTAGTTACATACAATTTTATCACACGTTTACATTTGTATAACCACCAGCATGGTCAAGATATAACACTGTCCATCATTACAAGGCTCCCTCATGCTGCCTTTTGATAGTTACACTCCTAACCCAACTGTTTAATTTTTAACCAAAGTTTTATCATTTTGGGACTTGTGCAACACTGGCCTTCATTTTTCCCTGCCATTTTTCTTGGCCAGGGAGGGAGTTGTCCTCTTAGTTTAAATTTAGGCTGAATTTAGAGTGAGAAAAATATTGCTTGATTTAAAGACTTCTCTAAATGAGTTGGTCAATTTGTTTACAGTGAAATTCCATTTTAATATTGGATATCTAGAACTTGTCATATGGTAGGCATTCAGAATTCAAAAAGAAAATCACTTATGGTCCTACCATACAGAGATAGACAGTGATGGCATTTTGGTGTATACATTTACAAATACTCATTTTTTAAAAGAAAATTAAATTTTACTTCCATATTTTATAAATTCTGCATTTGAGGAATGAATGTCCACTGCTATAGATGGACAACAAAAATGCGTGCCCTTATCAAGTTTGCATTTTAGTAAAATGAGTGATCGAAATGAATGGACAAATAAGCAAATAAACGAATAGTTAGATGAATAAAGTAGCTTCTTGTGGAACCAACGAAGTTTAGAATCCCACTTAGAAAGCTCTTTCCATTGATAAGGACCCTCCTGATTATTTGGGGGTAAAGACGGAAATGCTATGTCACCCCCTATAGTCTGAGAAACCTTCTAGGGTCTGAGCCTAGTGGAGAGTCTTTGACTTTCTCTTGTGTAGAATTCTTCCCCCTGAATAAATATTTTTTCCAGTTTAATCTTCATTGGTTAGTATTCTAACTGCCAGTCATTATTCCCACACTAGAAGGAACTAATGGTTCCCAACCATACATTTTCATAGAAGAACATAATATTCTCCTTCCCTTGTGTATAAGATTATTCTTTTACTTAAAAAATATCTAAAACCTCTTACTAAAACATTTCATAATGGTTTGTCTTTGTTACATTTGCTTCTATTTAAAAGGGATTTTATTAAAATAATATTAAGAACATCATTCTATATGTTTGGTTTTATTAATGCCAGTTAATGAGCTTACATTCCAGTAACCAAAGCTCGATTATTTAATTTGTGGCAGGTGAATTTGATATCTGTAGCTA